CCTCCGCCACTGACTGGCAACTGGAAGTGGATCTGGGCAAACAGCTGAAGATTCCAGCCAGAATTACATCCACACGGCACTGACCAGATATGATCATTGTCTCAGATTCCACCAAGCAGCTGATCATTCTGGAACTCACAGTTCCCTGGGAAGAGCGCATGGAAGAGGCCAATGAGAGGAAGCGTGCCAAGTACCAGGAGCTGGTGGACGAGTGCAGGAGCCAAGGCTGGAAGACATACTGTGAACCCCTGGAGGTGGGTTGCCGAGGATTTGCAGGGCGGTCCCTCTGCAAAGTCCTCACTATGCTGGGCCTCACAAGGGAGGCAATGAGGAAGGCCAGCAGATCTGCAACTGAAGCCGCAGAGAAAGCCACAAGAACGCTGCTGGGACACAGGCCGGAGTCTGATCACCTCTGGTCGGATCGCCTGGGTGAGGGTGTCTGATGATTGAAAAACCCAAAACACCCAGTGACCCCAGGTTACATCACTGATGTGTCCCTGCAAGATGTATCTCTCAACTCTCAACAGTGCTGTAGGACAGTCAAACTGCAGTAGGCAGGAAACTGAGGTTAGAAAAAAAAAAAAGATAATTTTTAAGTAAACACTTCTTGGACGGCAGCTCTCTGACTCTCTTGTTCTGCACATATGACCTGAGACAATCTCTCCATGTCTGCTGATAATGACGTTTTTACATTTTTTCCCCCCACTGTTTTGTTTTCAGTGCTTGCAGCCGGTGCCAAGATGCTGCCAGTGTTTGATATAATGTTGTTATTGCCAGTAGGTCTGTCTGCTTCCTGTGATGTGCTGTGTGATTGGTCAAAGCCAAAATGAGCTGCACATTTTTGTTTACTTACAAACCACTTCATCTATATTATGCTCAAAGGTTATGAAGTTATTATTTGTTAGTGTCGCCGATACAGATCCTGCCTACTGTAGTTTTATAAACAAAGTAAATGTAGTCAAGATAATAGTCATCGACTTAGCCTCCATCATGGCAGGTCACCTGTCATGTCTGTTTAGTCAAAATGACCCCTGCTCCAGTTACGTCATTCGAGTTGACAGAAATTTACATTTAATTAATTGATTAGAAATGTGATGGATTTGAGTCATCTCACTTTTTTCCTCCAAAAACCTTACATTAGAAAATGTCATATATTTAACTCTTAGCTTTTCCCTTGTCATAGAAATGGTGTTGGCAGCATTTATGCCAAGTCTTTTTTGTTTTGATACACTTGAAATCTTTAGTTTCTGAATAACGTGCACAACAGTGAAATAGTCCAAGTTCCAGTGCCAAAACCCATGCTGTGTTTTTGTTATCAGTCAAATGTTCAGTGATGGTGACTGACCCACATCACATGATGATGATGTTTTTTTGTTGGTATAGGACAGATGGTCGTTCAGTTTTCATGCCTAAACATTAGAGAACTCCTGTACAGTTTGTCGCTGTCATCTGAATGGCTCATGTTTATTGTGAACTCCTAGCATTCATCAGGGGTTCACACTCAGGGACCTACCCTTTGCTACTTGGAGCTCAACCCTCCAACTTGAATTTATTTACTCGGTTTATCCAATAGTTTTCAGATGTCACTGTCACTCATTGTGGGCTACAT